TACAGTTACTTTTATTATAGTTTGGTACTCTTTATATTAACCTTTCCCTGTAAAAACAAAACAACAACAACAAAAAAAGTGTGATTTTTTTCTTCTGATAGGACCCAGACTGATACATGTAATAAACATCAATTAGGGCTCACACCTGTAATCCCAGCACTTCCGGAGGCTGAGGTAGGTGGATCACCTGAGGTCAGGAGTTTGAGACCAGTCTGGCCAATATGGTGAAACCTCCTCTATACTAAAAATACAAAAATTACCCGGGCATGGTGACCTGCACCTGTAGTCTCAGCTACTCCAGAGACTAAGGCAGGAGAATTTCTTGAATCCGGGAGGCAGAGGTTGCAGTGAGCCGAGATCGCCCCACTGCACTCCAGCCTGGGCGACACAATGAGCTCTGTCTCAATAAAACCCAAAAACTAAAAACACAACAACAAAAACCACACAAAAAAGTCAATTAAATGTTAGACAGTGTTCTAGGCATGAATAAGACAACAAAGTATGCTTCTTATGACACTTATATTCTACAGAAGTTGTTAACTAAGACCTAATTCATAAGATAGATTCAGTCATGAAAAACGGAGGCAGAATATTCCAAGCACAAGGGGACAAGTGTAAAAGTAACCTAAGTGATAATGAATTTGATGTATATGACGACTGGAAAGACAAATGGGGCTTGACTTCAGCATGCAAGGAGGACAATAAGAGGTGAAATTGAAAAGGCAAACCTTTTAGGTAGGGTAACTGTAACAGGGAAGTTTTGAAAATGAATTAAGGCAGGCTGGGTGCGGTGGTTCACCCCTGTAATCCCAGCATTTTGGGAGGCCAAGGCGGGAGGATCACCTGAGGTCAGGAGTTGGAGACCAGCCTGGCCAACATGGCGAAACCCCGTCTCTATTAAAAATACAAAAATTAGCTGGGCGTGGTGGCATGCACCTGTAATCCCAGTTACTCAGGAGGCTAAGGCAAGAGAGTCACTTGAACTCAGGAGGCAGAGGTTGCACTGAGCCGAGATCATGCCATTGCACTCCAGCCTAGTGAACAAGAGGGAAACTCTGTTTCAGAAAGAAAAAAAAAAGAGAAAACGAAAATGAATCGAGGAAATTTAAACTGGGACCTAAGGTCACTAGATTTGCTAGTCATGGTGAAGGAGTCTGGATCTTATTTTAAGTGGTAAGGTGTAATTGGTAGGCTTTAAGCAGCAGAGTGACATGATTCAATTCTGAAAGATCACTCTGGGCTGGGCGTGGTGGCTCACACCTGAAATCCCAGCAATTTGGGAGGCTGAGGTGGG